ATATTTGACTATCAACAACTGTCTATAAACTATTCCTGACTATAAACTTCACCTGTTTGGCACTTACACCTTGCATGAACACCTGTTTATAAAGTACATACTTATATTGATATGTCAATGGACTACACTATAAGTTGTATCTGTATACGAATTAAACCTCTCTATTAACACGTGTATTAAAGTCCTGTACGTAAGCTTCACCTGTCTATAATCAACACCTGTCTATAAGGCTCACCTATCTGTAAAGCACACATGTCCAAAAATTACATCTGTCCATAAACTATATTTGACTATTCACACCTATCTGGTAGAGCTCACACGTGTCTTTATCACATATTCATATCTACATTTTGGACATCTCAACTGAGTGTTGGTGAAGATAATTGTGTGTTTGATAGAACAAATATACCATGTATATGTACAATGATTATGGCCCCAATGACATTAATTGCTGTCAAGCCGTAAAATTATGAAAACTTCAACAGAAAAAAGTCACACTGATTACATTGTACACGACATTAATGGCAATACGAACTAGTTGTACCTGCTTTTGATGATGGTTTGTAAACGACGAGATGAAATCTACTTCCGTTAGCATTGACGTTATTTAATCCAACGACGATTCACTTTGTATTTAATGCGTCATATTGTAACACGTTTGTGACAGTTCGTACGATTAGCACGTGTCGCAGACAAGATACCGATACTGTTCAGATGTTTGTAGGGTTTGTCCCTCTTGTGGAGTTTGGGTCCGGGATTGTTTCTCGTGTGTGATTGGATGATGTCTCTTTTGTTATATAGGGTTAGATTTTCGTGTGGGGTTGGGGAGTTTGGGGTAAAGAAAACGGCGGCGATAGAGCGACGCTAATCTCATTCCATCGTTGTCGTATTGACACTATTGTTCATGATGAAAGGAAGGGGTTATAAAGGTATACAATGTCATTAACAATACGTGTTCTATCATAGATTAATATACATATATTTCCCCCACTTTATTGGTTCGGCTTTGTTTTGGCAGTCTAGACACAAAATGATGAGAAAATAACTAATTTTTTCAGCGCATTGTATTCTCTCATACAATGGTTTTTGAAAGAAATAAAACAAATGCAATATTATATGGCGTGCAAAATCTACAAACGTTTTTTTATCATTTAGTGAATCTTTTGCTCAATTTAAAACCTCTTGGTTAAAAATATTTTGGGTGGAGGAAAGACAGCTTGCAACATACTAAGTACAGTTTTGCAAAAGTTTGTGGTTGTTTGTATGTATTGTACTGTATTTCGGTCACAAAAATTGTTTTTGGAATCCAATATGCAATAACGTTGATTTGATCTTTTTATCCGCGCGACACAAGAATATTTGCTATTAATGGACAAAATTTGTATTTTGACACAGATTTTTGTCATATGCATTAAGATCTACAATTCTTTATATATATTCGACTTTCTACTCTACTACATATAGACGTGCTCCTGCCTTTTTAGATCGATCTTAATATTGTTGGAGCTGTTATTGTTGTCTAGTAAAAAGGAGTGCCCCCTACCCATCGATCGTACATCGGTCACCAAAGCTTTGCAAGCCTGCCATCGAGCATGGGTATGACAAAGTAACATGTGGCGATCCACCTACGCTTGCTGTGTGGTCCGCATTGTTTGTTATGCAAATGGAGGTACAAGTACTGTACACCTATGTGTATGCTGTGTCGAGTATGAGCAAATTATTAGGCATGGTGTTTTCTTTGATAAATTTTAACATAGTTGCAAGAACTTGAACGTGTTTCGCGAAGGGAAATGGTATCCCACTCCCTATTTAAACTTCGATGCATGTGATACAATAGGTACATTTTGTATTGAGCATTGCAAAATTGTTATCAATTTTGAGTTCTATTATTTTCTCGAATTTTGTATTGACAGACAATTGTGAAACTTAGTTTTGGCATTATGAAAGAGTGCTTCAAATCAACATTACCGTTGAACGAGTCCAAGGAATTACTGTACCAAGTCAAATGCATACAAATGCATCCATGTCATGATTCAATAAATACTTCAACAATACACATGTAAAACGTCGTCCTTTGCCAAGTTTAAATGTGACTGTTTATTGTTGAGTGGTTCTACCAAATACTCCGCAAATACTTCGTATGTGTGTAACGTGGTCCAGCCTTTGAACAGGTACAGTCCTTTGATGTGCAAACACTGGCACAGTGCAGTAAACACATCAAGTAGCCAATGCCAAAGCAATGTGTTCGCCGCCCGCCGTTTATATTTTGACACGCTGGCCATTAGTACGGGATGTGGTTACTACTACACTGTTGGCGGCTAGAAAAGTTATGATTTTGTGTTTCACAGCTCGACCATACTTGTTTTATGTTTACAATGAGTTTAAGCCAATGGTAAGAGGTCAGTATGTCATGGGAGGCGATGGTCAAAGCATGTGTGATAACTCATCTCATTAGGCAGACGCGCGGCAACATTTTTGCTAAAGTGTTTTCGGTAACAAATTGCCATGAATGTTAGTGGTTCTATGTCTGTTAGCCTATCCAGCGTTTGTAACGCTGATGACGTCAGGAAATATGGTCAGAAGGTCTTAACACTGATGAAATATAAGCAGCGGATCTTTGTTGTGAAGTTTTCTGATAACCCTCGAAAATTACATCTATGGACGGCTGGTTTTCGTTGTGTAGTATTGCCTGATTGATCCCCTTGGTTTTTTTTGTCAGTAAGGTGTAGTGAGATTTGCATATACATTGTTTACAACGTATGTGTGACATCATTTCGATATGTGCCTCCAACCTGACACGGTGCGCGTGCTCTCTTATTTGCTCTGTCAATACTCAGGAGGTATGCTCTACGCAGCAATAGAATGCGCATGTCATTAATGAGTAGTGTATTCCAATACTCTAGCACCAATTAACACGTGTCATAACAATCAGTCATGTCAACAACCATTGTTAGGCCCCGTCAACAAGCACTGTAGGGCACGCGTGAGCACGTGCGTCGATTAGTGTGCCCGCTGGGACAGACAAATACACGTCCCTATCGGCGTTGTCAGCTCACAGGGAGGTCTGCAACACACCTGTACGACATTCTCACTTATTAACATGAATACATCTCGAACTCTAGATATTGACCGAAGCTTGAGCAGTATGACATGATTAGAAGTAGTAATTGAAATCCGTTTTGACACAATTGTACTCAGTGGAGATTATCGTAGTTACACTTAAATACGCTAGATGGCATGAATGAAAATTAATTGGCACTGTTATGAACAAGGTTGTGTACACAGTGGAGTCAGAACGGCAATTTTATTTTAAAAGTACATCTGTACATGTATTTTATTGTCATGTGATGTCTTCGTTCCTTGCAAGTCTTGCTCATACTGTGTGTCATTTGTTTTGCTGGTTCTTTTTGTCTTTGCTGTCCCCATATTAGACATTGAATAATCCAGCTTCGGTTTAATGCACATACAGTTACATCTAGTGGCCTCAATACTTGGGGCCTCTTCCCTTTTACCTTTTTTCAACTTACCACTTGTCTACGAAGCTGCCTTTTGTCCCATTGTTGGTGTTGATTGGCCATTAGGACTACACAAATACACGTGTATAGTGTATAGTGTTCGTGAGTAGTGTTTCTAGAAACGAAACATAGAATATAAAAAACTCCTTGCTTATAGAAAAAGTTGAAAGAACAATCGTGTATAATTTAGTGATTGACAGAACATGCAAAGTAGCTAAGCCGCATGCTTAATGAAGACAGGCTGAGATAGAGGCCCCTATGAATAATTATGTGTATACCCTGGAGAGTTTACCTGGGTCTTGATTAGCTAGAATTGACAGTCCCTAACGCTTTTGGACGATCCCTATGTAATGTACCACCCTTGGTTATACCTTACGTATATAACAATGTACAGATATATGAACGTGTGACTTTCATTCACGCCAAGTATCAATACTTTATATATGTAAGATATTGATTCATTTAATAATACAGGAGTAAAAAAGAAAGTGAGATAAATTTAGATATTGTAATTCGTCTTGTGTGTGCCTCTGTCCGTTCCTGGGTCTCTACGTGCGTGCAAACGTCCGAATGGTTTCCAGAGAATTTCTTCTTATTTCATGAAGGACTATCAACCTTAGTATGTGGGTACCTGCTGCTAAGTTGGAGAGTCGTGCACCAAGTCCTAGATCATTGTGACCTCTAGTTTAACCTCTAACATCAAAGAAAATCTATTTCCGGATCGTGTCTCATATACTATTACATGTATATCTAAATTTGTTCACCGCAGCCTATAGATTGCCCTATTACCTTTATGAAAGATAACATGTTTTCGAAGGATTTTTCCTTCAATGCACGTACATGCAGTTCATATAAAACCATGAGGTTACATGAAGGGAAGAATAAGACGTGTCGTGTACAAAACCTATGTCACTGCGACTAATATTATGATCTTTGACCTCAATCAAGGAACCATCGTTCCCAATGCGTCCATCAACAATATTTTGTCATAAAATAATGCAAGCGTAGTGCATGCATATGTCTAGGGGGTTTAACAGACCAAAACTATGTCAATGCAACTTTTATTTTGACCTGTGAACAAAATCAATTGAATGCGTTTGGAAACATTAATAAACAGCTCCCTACGGGGTGCCGCATACTGAATCTAACATACTGCTATATTTCATAAGGGACACTCAAATGTCATACATTGATAAATACCTATGGACAACGAATTGGCGCGAACAAAAATTAGGTCTCGTCGTGATACACTAGTACAATGTCGATATTTCTTTTTGTATAATGAAGGATAATATTTAAAAAATGATGTGTGTGATTATGTTAACGTTGCTATATATAAATGCGTGTAGTTTGTATGTTATGATTACATATGCTTTATCAATAATGATAAAACGTGTTCAAGTACTGCTGCACTGATGGATGGCAATTATCCTAGTTCCTGTTTTATTCGCAGAATGAACTAATTGTGCTGTTTGTATTTTACAGGACTAGGCAGTGAGGACGAGGTCTCCTTGGTAGAGGAGCTTTTTGATTTAAGTAACTACAATCCTCTGATTCGCCCTGTAGAGAACGTATCGCAGTCGCTCATCGTCAATTTCAGCCTCGCTCTTAGTCAGATCATCACGGTGGTAAGCCTCGATTTAAATTACCCTCTTCTAACATTCACTATGTGAGAACGAACGAGTTTGATTGATGTTCAAGTAACGGGCAGAAGAAAAGTGCGAAACGAAGGCAAAACGAAAAGAGACTGAAAAATAAATAAAAAAATAAAAAACGAAATATAAAGTAACGAAAAAGACCTAAACTGAAAGGAAACGAAACGAAACCCATAAAAGGAGAAAGTAGGGTTTGAAAGGTTTTGATATAAGGCTAGGGTTTATAAGACAATGTCTTTCGTTTCGATGTCTCATACTTCCTGTTTAACCACACTGGGGGCACAATTAATATTTTTGAATAAAGACTAACACAGTCGTGCCATAAGGGACTTGATTAGGGTTACAGATAATAATTTCAAGGTTAAGCTGCTTTGGTTAGTTGTAGAGTTGGTATTCTCTTTCAATATTCTCAAGCGATGGCGGGAAAGAAGCGCTGAAACCCAAATGAAAGGCATGCGCATATAACTATAACGTATAACAAAAACACACAGACTTCTCCATACACTCAAAAACACAAACTTCTCGATACTCTTGATTAAGGTCGGGAAACACAACTTAAACTTGCAAAAAGCAAAAACGAACAAAAGCAACTGCATAAAATTATATATTTGTTACGCTACCCGTAAATGTGATACAAAGGGTCATTTATGATTTTATTAAGCCTTCCCGTCTACAGTTGTTGAAAATTAACAAAAGTATATGAAGTGCTAGCTTTATCTAGCTGGATGTGTCACATGGAGGTTACATTAACATGCAATGTTTTGCACAGTGATGTATGAGTGATGGGTCTCAGTTAAAATAGTTGTAAAATCAATCCGTATCCTGACCATACGTAAGCAATGTTTTCAGACAAAGAAAAAGGTGATACAGGACTTCTATATGGTACAGTAACAACATAAAATCAATCCGTATCCTGACCATATTGAAGCACTTGTAATACATTGTGCAGCGACGACAAAAAAAAAAGAAACAATACCGACGTTATAGATGTAGGAAAACCCCTATATTGTTGTATTATCTATATTCGTCTAGCTCTTATATTCAAAATACTTTATGGCGTTAAGAACGTAAACCGCAGTGAATTTCCACTTGCATTATTTCGATTTCGTTTCGCCTTCTTCGTTTTTCTCCTTTTACTCCGGTTTCCTCACACATTATTCCCCTTCGAGTTACCTTCCTGGCCAACAAGAGCTATGATTACATTGTATACATTAGTTAAGTTGATAAGAATCGTTTCCTTTTTGTAAAATAGATACCGTTGAAAGTAAAAAATGATATATATACATGTGCCTGATCAATATTTCGGTTGTGTTTCCTTTGTATTCAAGGTAACAATCAATTAATAATGTATATGTTGTGTGCATAAAATGACATGTGACACCATGTACATGTATAGTATATTAATTACGTACATTGTATACGTCTTACGTCGACGAACGCTAAAATAGTGAAGTAATGTATCACTGACTACATTAAATTGGGTTTATGGTCGAAAAACGACAGGTTTCCTAAAATTGTAGCAGGACTTTTCCGAAAGACATGGTACCAGGGGGCATTAAAAAAAAAGAACTTTTTCCCGGTACAAGTAGTAAAATTATTTAACAGTCTTTCAGAGGATGTGATATCAACACCATTGATACATAAATTTAAAAATGGATAAGCACTGAATAGATAAGGAACTGAATACAGAGTTAACAAACATGTAATTCCATAACTGAACTTTTATATAGGTGTATGTTTTGAAAACATAATTGAGTTCATCTTCTCTACGATCCGGTACGATCCGGTTTACCTGCTTTTAACAGAGCGTAAGTGAGCGTAACCCTGGCGTATCGAGGATGGTTGAAGTCTGTCGTAAAGGATCATGCAGATCCTGTATCGGAAACTAAACTTTAGCTTTAACTTAACTATCACAGTACTACTTATAGGTGACGACATCTGTAAACTTCATAGATTTGAAGTATTGCAGCAAAGCTACTTTTTCGACAATATTACGAAAGGGAATAATTAACCTTTAGCATTTAGGAGCAGAGTATACATCATATTCTGTTTGTAAATATCATAATTCAGAATAAATCAAAATTGAACACAGTCTGATATCGCCCAAACAAAAGACTAATGTCCAAAGTACATGCATTTATGTATACTGTGGAAGTGTGCATTCCGAGAAAAACTCATTTCGCAATACTTCTGTTTAAGAGTATTGGTTGAGAGGAATAAGTATCAGTACAAAAAAGGCCACATTACTGACAGTTGCCTGGTAGTGTATATTCCGGTTAAGTGACAGATGTTCCTACTATGGGTGGTCGACATCGAAATAAACTCGCCTTCACTCCATGGTGACCAGCTGAAATCACTCGACATAAAACACTTCTTCCTTTAACTCAATTTTGCACGTGCTTTCTCTTACCATTCGTGAAATGGTGACGTCAAAGACACCAGTAATTATCGTGATTGGTGGGCACAATCGGCCGTGCGCCTGTTTCAGGTTTCCACACGTGAAGTTTTAATAAAGCGTTTTCGGTCACGTGCATCGGCTCGGAACACGACGTTTTTATCTTCAGTTACATCTGTATTGCTTCGTCAGGGGTAAAGTACAGGTGATATCAATCCGGGAAATTGATTAATGAAGAGAAAGGAAGCATCAAATTCATTGTAAGGCTTATTGAATTATTTATTGCACATTTAGGATAAATGGATTTATTTTAACTGGGCCGAGTTTATATATCAGGAGAATAACATCATTCAATATAACGGAGAGTTGCTTCCAACTTCCAAGTCCTTCCTCATGGAGGGTTTCTGGTATATGGTTCTAATTAATTGTACTTGTGTGCCCTCTGGGGATGTCCTACTTTCAGGAGTGTGTCAGGAATGTTGTCTGCATACATTAAAAAATAGTCCCGCGCCTTCAAATCTTACAAAGACCATTATTCCAGAAAATAGCCGCTATTTCTTGTTTTCGCCCCTCAATTTTACCCTCTTTTGCCTTTTGAAACATTTTCACCTATCTTTGCCTTTCCCCATGCACATAATTTACTACATACAATGTTCATTCATAAATGAATTCCCTCTTATTTTCAAGGGCAGGAATGTCAAAACCAAAACGGGGGAAAAACATTTCCCGTTTTACAATATAAGCATATTAGACACGATTGCTACATGTTGTGATGTACGTACCGTTATCAGCTCCTTTAACAATGCGCGTAAGCGGAACTGTACTGGTTGGTTTACCGTGAATCTTACTTTGACCAGGGGAAAGCTCGATCGTGTAGAAATCCCATTTCGTTAGAATTCAAAAGCTCTATCGATTTGCACGGTTGAAATGCAGTTGTGTTTATTGCTTGGGTTTGAGATAAAAGCTGTGGAGTAGGTGAGGCTGGTCTCGGGAAAGGTTTGGGGCCCAACCAGACACTACTGGGGATTTAATTAATAGTATTACATCACATGTACCAAGCTTGTTGATTGTGGTATCTCAGGGAAGTCGACGGTAGTTTCGGTCAAAACAAATAGATCTTCAGCCGGTCATGTTTCTATTCAAATCTGTGATATCGCTTATTGAATGAGTACCACCAAACTGGGTTAAAAATAAAATGTCACATGCATAACGATCACACCTTGCTGCGTTACCATAGTAACAGTTCTCCGGAAACGTACGTTTTGTACCGATTGCAGTTGATTGATTTTGATTTTTTTAAAGATTAATATGTTTTAAACCTTCCTTTGATACTATGAGCATGTAAATCCCCTTACACTTTATCATGGGACCACTCTGCACCACAGATAGTGAACGGTCACACAATTATATGTCAAGTCAACAGAGCAACTGTGCAACGTCTAAAAAGAGAGGTAGTATTAATTGGTTCGTCTTGATAGATGCATTTGGTCCATGTACGTTTCAGGTCTAATAATTGGCCGGTCACCATGATGGATGAATTCATGTACCAATACAAATGGTTTATCATCGTCTCTCCACAGATAGTATATATCAATATACCGCACCCAGACAAATTGTGTTTATAAACAAATACTGTACATGTTGGAAGAGAATATGTAGAACTCTACTAATCTGAAGCTTCTTTGCATAGCATTGTGCATCTGTTTATGTACATTGTTGATAGGATCCAGTCGTTTTTACCATCTTGGCTACGTTGATGGCAGCAAGGCAAGCCATAACGTCCAGACTAGCCTATACTGGTGCTGTTGGGCATACACTGTGCATTGCTGAATCGACCATTGCCTGGAAAATACGCCTTCATCCCAATGGCGGCGACAGGCATTTGTTATTTGCTGCATCAAATGTGGACTAAATATGTGCACTGTCACAGAAATTAACTGTTACGGTGCACATCCGCGTACGAGTCGACTCCAAGCACTTGTTAAACTCACCTCATAAACACTTCTATCAAATGTTCCCTCAGCCGTGGTTACTGTAGTTTGTAGGAAATAGCGATAATTTAACCTCGCATAGAAAGTCTCGTTAACACTATCAATCACTGAACAATGTTCTAGAACATTCTCCCATGTTTACGATATAAATTGTGTATTGATGGTTATTTAATTTAATTTAGAAAATATAAAAGATATATGTATACCTCTAGCAAAGCTTTATAAAATCACGTTCATTGGTGATGGTGTCTGGAATTAATGTCTACTATTATTTATTGTCTAAGAATACGGCCACATTGATTCCAAGTAAAATGTATGTCCAGAAATGTCATTCATCTTTGTGATTGCAGGACGAGAAAAACCAGATCATGAAGACCAACGTCTGGCTACAGCTGGTAAGTTATCCATTATTGAAAGGCGTGGCATCACTTCCGGTAACCTAATACAATTCTCCCCTACGCCAGAAACTAATGCACTGACAGAAAATAGATATACATTATTTGACAAAATAGGGCAAATATATATTACCGTGAATTTATGATGCGATGTTGCTCAATTGGAACAACTTGAAGTTCTCTGAGTTCGAGGTTATTTTTCTTTTAACAATTTAAGCTATGGAATGTGTTTTTTTTTAAATATTTACATTATTCGACAAAATAGGGCATACATATATCATCGTGAATTGACGATGCGATATTGTTAAATTGGAACATCATGAAGTTCTTCTCTGAGTTTGTAATAATTTTCTTTAAAACTTTAAACTGAGGAATGTCTATTAAAATTGGCCTTGTATAAATTGGTACAAAATTGACCTGGTGGTACTCGTAGTGCAGCATTTTACGGTTGAAATTCGAATGTGTCTTTATATTTTCCTTAGTGCTTGTACTGTCCTCATGTACTTTAATGTGGTGTTTTGTTTCAGTATTGGTACGACTACCAGCTGAAATGGAATCCCGCAGACTTCGGAGACATTACCAGTATACGTATACATCCGGAGAAGGCGTGGCGACCGGATATAGTGCTGTTTAACAAGTACGTATACACAAATCAACGATGTCTAAAGCACCAATTTTGTTTCGTACCATGTCATTGTGGGATGTCACTAAAACGCAGAACGGGACAACCAAAATGAATGGAACGAAACAACAAAAATCCGTATATTGAGAAAATTTCAGTAAATGCTACCATATAAAAAAAAACAATCATGGATAATATTTGTATTATATATTTTACGAAAGATTTGTTTTCAAGATATGATATACATCTTTCAAAGTTAATGCTTCTTATCTTACTTGCATGATTGTATTCTTTTGAGCATTATGACAAAATACATTGTGTAGTTCCTTTTACGTTGTCCACCCTTTTGATAAACATCTGTGCTCTTTCTCGCTAATCAGGTTACTTTCCAAAGTTCAGATTATATTAATGTGATCGTATACCTTGACTTGGTACATGTACCAACTCAAAACGCCATAACCAATAGCCAAGGCAAGTGAACGTTTTTAAGGGGAAATTTGCAGGTCCCTCAGTAACGTTTTCAGGAAAATCGATCACAAATAAGTTCATGTAAGAGACTGACGCCATAATACTTAAAGGAACATAAGCCATATGTAACCTTGGTCATACTTTGTTCTGTCAGGAGCGTGTCTGTGCCGTACGGTCGGGTGATCTGTTGTAATTCTGATATTATCTTTTAACTGTTTTCATTAGATAAATGTACTTTTTATTTATTTCCCGGCGTCGATACCTATTACTTCCTCTATTACATGACATGAAATATTTGTTAACAAATTATTTAATAAAAATGTCAAGTGGTGATAATAATACAGGCGAGATCGCCACAAGCACATTGCACCGACTTACCCGGGCGACTGCTGGTAGTCCACCGGCGCTAAAGGCTGCAGGAATGCTCCGCTCAATAAGGAAATTAAAAAATATTGGAGATTTTTTAATTCAAATCTCTATTTTAATAGTGCCCAATTGATTGTCATTGATCAAGTCCAGCGCCATCCCCCTACCAATTTGTCCTAATTTGTTACGATTCATGTACTGCATGGCAGTTAAACGTGATGATATTATTTCTTTATTTTATACAAGATCTGGGCTTCAAAGCCTCCACAAATTACCTCAATAAAGTAGACTTCGCTGGCATTGGGGCGTTTGAATAGACATTTTCGTTTGTTCATTGAACAGTTAGATTATAAGCGTGCGACCTCTGTATCAACAGGTCACGGATACGAATAGGCCTGCTGCAGTAGTGGTAATGGTTAACTTTTCTAGGACTTTATTATCTTTCTACAATGTAGCTTCCTAAACACATTTTGCTTCTGTGGTTCTGTTTGCGTTGGTCACGATGGGTGTGGTCGAAGTGCGTAACATTTTCACGTTAAAATAATGAATAACCTTCAGTTAACCTACAGCTTTTGTATCGGTTAAGCGCTAGAATGATAAAATGTGTAGCATGCTATTTTAATTACTGTATTTACAAGTACACAATTTAAATTCAAAGATATATGTTTATGTTAAGACACCAACCCCTGCTAGACAAAACAAAACAGACGTTAGATTCCTAAATTACCACTGACTGCATAAAAACTGCGATGGTGGCGAGACAGGAAATCACATCTTCAACAATATCAGAGACATTTTGTAATTATTATATCGTTTTCCATATATCATTCTTGAATTATTCATGAATAATAAACATTATATATATAAATGTGTTCGTTGACCTGAGGGTGGCGGAAACACTGTAGCAATCAGAGATCGCGTGAGAGGTACTTGTATAGAAAGTCATTTAACCCCGTTGACTAACCTAGACCATTATGACTCAAAACCCGGTGTAGCATTAGATGACTAGATAAGAGAGGCGTGTCCATAAAATTGTACGCGTGTGTGCACGTGAGTCACAACAACGCATATAGTCGTGTTATGGCTGTACACAAAACACGCGCAATCATTGCTAAAATTCCGGTACGGCCTGTCAATGATTTCACGTACATCAAAGCCAGCTGTATGAGGCTATAGCACGTCCATCCCACGATCCCATTATACGTACACTACTCAGATGTGGGGGTCCGCGTAGTAATCACCTGACCGGCCCCTTCACGCCCCTTACCTCCCCAATCACACGCCGCCATTTTATCAATTACTACGCCGCATGCTATTGGAATGAGTACCATGTGTTCATGTAGCCTTTTCTACCTCTTCCGATACACATACATGTATTTGTGGCGATTGTAACGTTTCGGCTAGTGAGTGTGTTTATTGGGTGGTTATGATCCGCTTTCGGTAGTGTGATAGAGTTTTTTGAGTTCTGTTAGTGGAACCCCTCCGATAACGCCCAAAACTCTACAAGGGTGTGACGATAATTTGACCTGTCACTTGACGATTGACGGAGATATATGGGTCTACTTACCCGTCAACTTTAGTTACCCGCAAAAACCTAAGGTTAATAGATCAATCACTTACAACATGACAATCAACCAACACGGGGGCTTGTCTGAGAAGTTAAAGGCACACGCTAATGTCAGTTCAGAGGGATTACTAATAAAACTTTCTGTCGGTATGTTAACTTCTCTTTTGTCTTTTTTAGTTTCTTCATTACCTCGTTCATAAATGTTCTTCGAACAAATATTGACATGACGAAATCAGTCTGAACGGACATTGTTATGTTGACATAAATAAGGTTTAAACTAAACACATGTTTATCATGAAATTGATTTAGCATTTTAATACGACTCTACCTCTATAGTGTCCGATGACCACAGCAATATATAGCATGGTAGATTTCAGATCTAGTTAATATTAATTTGAATTTCTGCACCTGCCCATCAGAGTTCCTCTCTTACGGACAAACATTGATGCATTTTCCTTTTTTTCGAAAATAACATTATTTCAAGTTTAAGTCTATAATTTCTCATAATACTTATTTGTCTCCCCCTAGTGCTGACGGGAATTACGAGGTGTCGTACGAATCCAACGTGGTGCTAAACTACACAGGCAACCATTACTGGATTCCGCCCGCAATCTACAAAAGCTCGTGCACCATCGATGTCCAGTACTTCCCGTTTGACCAACAAGAGTGTGAGATGAAGTTCGGTTCCTGGACATTCAAAGGCGATCAGATGAAATTTTACTTTTACAGAAATATGAACACGCTAGACTTCACCGACTACCTCAAGAGTGGTGTGTGGGACGTGATCGACTGTCCCGGTAGGATTGAACCAGGGGATAACAACACAAAGTCTATGGTCGTGTTTAAATTCATTTTACGGAGGAAAACATTATTTTACACAGTGAACTTAATCATCCCCTGTGTTCTTATATCGTTCGTGAGTGTATGTGTGTTCGCGCTGCCGGCAGACGCGGGAGAAAAAATCACCCTTTGTATATCCATTTTACTTGCATTAGTTGTGTTTCTCCTTCTGATTTCCAAGATTTTACCTCCCTCCCTCACCATCCCCCTTATTGCCAAATATCTCTTGTTTACCTTCATCATGAATATTTTCGCCATTGTTTGTACAGTTGTTGTTATAAATAGAAACTACAGGACTCCCCGAACACATAGAATGCCTTACTGGATCAGATACGTCTTTCTAAACGTTTTACCCAGAATTCTTATGATGGAACGACCTGACCACGACAAACGGTGGCGAAAACCGGAGGAGCAAGAACAAGATACAAAACTTGAAGGAAGTTCAACGGAAATGCATAATACACTTCCGGTGAATAAGCCGTCCGGGGTTCTGGAGCTTACGGAAATACACCACCCCAACTGTCGCTTGAACCCAAAACCTACGACAGTGGATTACAACGCTGATAGGGACGGTGGTCAAATCCGATACCGGATGTCGGCAGAAGTGATGAAAGCAACGGAGGCTCTTAGATTTATCACACAACACTTGGAGGTGGAAGATGAATATGCAACAGTAAGTACATGCGCACTTATATTTCAAATAAATGGCGTGCACATTATTACACATGCGTTGCAACATATTTCAATACCCAGATGTCTTAGCCAAAGTAGCGATAATTAGACTGCAGCAAACATTTTAAAAGTACACGATGTAAATGCGGATCGCCAACTCATGAGCGAGCACGTAATTAATTTCGTTGTTTTAATTGGGGAAACACTCGACAACGTGATGAGTTGCTAATTACAAATGTAATCGGGCTACTGTTAGTACCGTCCTGCCAGGTCAATGTATTAAGTTCGGGACATAATTCGTGATAGAAATCATCTATTAAGTACAATCATTCTAAAAGAAAAATATAATGTTTTGGATTGTGTATTTACTAAATCGATTTCCTTTTATTAATTGGCACACGATTTTCAATAATATGTTAAAGGCACTTTCATCAAAATGGAAATGTACAGATATATGTAAGTTGTACATAGTTTTTCAGGAATCATGTTTCCGTCTTTCGTTTCAGATTTTAGATGACTGGCGATACGTTGCCCGGGTGATGGACCGACTGTTGTTGTACATATTTCTGATGGTGACTTTTGGGGGCACAGTGGGCATTCTTCTGCAGGCCCCACATATTCTCGAGTATGTGGACCAGGACGAAATCATAGACCAGCTAAAAAAAAAGTGGGGCTGACGTCGCTTCCGGTAAAAAATGGTAAGAATACCTACTACCGTCTGGTTCGATATGACAACATATTTCCACTAGACATGCGCATACAGTGTCAGTATGTGATCACGTCTGGTACGGGGTCAGAGGTCAGACTAAGTACACAACATTCGGAGGTGTTATTCGGGAACGACGAATCAACCAGGTGATGACGTGTACGTACCACTGAGTACGTGCTGGATCCTTTATAAACCACCACTGAGGTTGTGCATTGTGTGCTTGAAATACCCAGCACACGTGATCCCGTGTTCCATCAGCAGTTGGCATTCTCCTGTACCAGTTGGTACAAAGTAACAGCAGTATTTCGTGGGAATCAAAATGTTAAACGAGCGAGTGTATGATGACAGTGGTATTGTTCTGAATGTTAATTACCCGTGTCGCGTAATCAGGTGTGATACGTCTGTTATAAAGCACGTGTAGGCGTTAATTTTGTTGAGTTTTTGTAGATGGTAACGTAGATGTGTGAGAGTTTTAGCGTAACAGCATTAATACTGATTATCACACTCAATCATCATTATCACCCCCATCCTGGTGGGGCCCTGTACCATATCCAAGCACAAATCATGTTTATGATGTATTCATATTGGTTTTTAAGATATGCGTGTACGAACAATCATTTTTCACGTGCCCCTATCATTGTTTATTGGTGAAATGAAAATAGGTGAATACTATTATTGTAATGATTTTACTGTGAACTGTAGTTCTTTGGTACCTTCAAACTATTATGTATTTTTAGAAACAAAATCATCGATAACAGTAAATTTTGTGTGTATTTATATTACGAACAAAGCCATCACTGAGCATAAGAAACATCGAATAAAATTCCAAATTGAGTATTTGGTGGTTTACATTTTCGTAATCTGAAACATTTAACTCACATAAGTGAATTGAAAAGCAGTTTGTTCGCTTCAGGTAGTCAACTAGATAATCCGGTAGAATACTCTACTCCTGTGACTCTATGCAATGTTTGAGTTCTGGCTAATGATATGTTACCTGTACGAACCCGTTAACGGTAATCCAGCAAGTGCAGACCTTGAAGCAATAGGCTGCAACTGTATCAAACCATGCGAATGTTAGCCAAGTGTTATAGAATTTCAATAAATCTCGTCATAGGCTGGAATCAAACCTCCAACGTGCTAACTTATGAATTGACATCAAAATAATAACGCAAGTGTGATCATCAGGACTAACTAAAGTGAACTCGCATGCGTTCTGAATAGAACTATTCTGTAATAATTCCTATATTTAATTGAAGTGATTTTCAAATGGAGGCGATGTTCGTTTTAACAGCAAAGAACTATGACCTATAATTTGAATATTTCACTGAAGAATGTTTGTCTTTAATTTAATTAAGTATTTCTGCACGTTTCTGTCATTCATGATATTGACAACTGAACCAAAAACAGCTTAAACAATGGCGATCGTATTTCAAAACATACTTACTTTATTCAAATACGTGAGCTCTTCTCTGTCAGATTAACAAGTAAGTTCGTCATTTTGTGTTGGACGTTTGAAATTTGATTTGATATGACAACGGTGTTGGTAATTAAAACAGCGTTACCGCAATACATCAAATGTTACACCTTATCTAATTGGATGAAAAAATACATATATATAAGATTTATTGTGTCAAAACCATTGCCAGCTGTGATTGGTCAAAATACGAGTCGTTGTCTTTGGCCGCAAAATAGATGCAATCGAGCCAATAGCAATAACTAGATGTTTCACTCCGTAGTAATGTAGATTTTCACGATTTGAATTATTTGTGAGGTGATTTCTCGTCATGGTGTTGTTCATATTATTTATGGGTATGTCGACTGTTTCTGTATTGATATCAAACACCTTTTACAGACATTAGATGTTATTTGAGATGTATAAAGTATATAAGGGTTTTCAAATGAAATCAGTTTTATATGACGTTACTTGTCTTTACTTTTATTTAAATATTTTCACAGAAATCGTTTGATGTATATGGTTTTACTCTGGTGATTCGGGTTTAAATATCGACATATTTCGCTGCCGGTTGATATGGCAACTACAAATTGGGGAAACATTAAAAAGATATTTGAACGTTGTTGACAACTAGATACAGTACCTGTCAATGTTTTTTTGTGTCTATTTCCACATATTGATTGATCCTCACTTCCATATTGTGTGTCTCCACAATTGTAGATTTGGCAGTAGTCTTTACGTCATGGTCACTATAGCACCGATCGTGACGTGACTTCCGGCAGACTGAGAGAACAACTTCCGGTTGTCTGCGCTATGACAGTCCATTGTGTATAATTCATATCACTGTATTCGTTATAATGTTACACAACACACTAAAATAAATAATGTTTGTATGAAAGGGATTTTGTTTCATTTTGTTCCAAAAGGGAAATATATATAAAAAAAAAAAAAATCTTTTTGTATTACGTTTGTTATTGTTATACTTGTTTTCTCACTTATGTACTATTTATCTTCAATTTAGATTAGCCTGTTATCAAATAATTGATAGGGTAAATGTACAACAACCCTATACAGATAATGATATTTCGGAAAGATAAAGCCATCCTTTGTGAACACTATCTATATTACACAAAAACTCTAAACAAAACAAAATGTTTTCTTTCTTCTATAGACGATATACAGTAAAGCCTCTATATAATGACCTTCGTTTAAAGACCCTCGTTTCATTTGATACTTCGCTTACCACCAACATGTCAAAGGTTTCCTTTTTATATCCCTATCTATGTTCCTCAATAATTGCCCGTTCTTACTGGACAGACGGTGACATCATAACGAGGCTTTACTTTATATAGTATGAGATCTTGATTCATAACTAAAAATGCTCGACCGGTCTGTACATTGAAAGGTTTCACATACGTAAATTATTTTGTTAATTCATTCACCCCTGAAGACACATTTGAACTCTTCCAGTTCAAAGGTTGGAATAGTTAATTATGAAATGTAAGGGGCGAATGAGTTAATAACACATTCGTTATCTTAGTAATGACAAACATACTAATGACAAACATAAGACAGGCGAAGAATGTGTACTTCACAACAATTAAGCAAATTATAATATCTTTTCGGTATTGCTATGTACGAAACATAACCGAAAACGAAAGTTAATATGAATGATCACTACATACATCTAGTCATTTACAGTGTATACAGGTTACATTCAACAACACTTCCTTGTAAGTGAAAGATATATTAATATTACCGGAATATACCTTTGAACCTTGCTCGTCCAGGAAGCGGATCCTTCGTCAGCGATACCAACAAGTGGTGTATTAAGTTGTCGAACAGATGCTGTATAACATGAAATGTTCGCGTGTATTTTCTTTCGTGGTTTGGAGGTTTCAAATGATTTCGTGGGTACAAACTTTCGTAGTTCTATGACGCTTTTCTTTGATGTAATAGAGTCAAGTTCATTTCATTTATTCATCGTATAATCTTCAACATATTCAGTATTAAACTGTTTCGCATACGTTTCTGCGTTGATATAACATGATCATAATTATACATTGTTCACGTACAATGCTTTTGTGTGCGCATTTTTGACTGAAATAAGCTTCATATAGTTTTCATATATATATCCTTTCGACTTGTATAAACATTCGTTATACTTATATTCGTGGTTCCATAGCAACCACGAAAACAACAAAAGTGTATACACAATGAACATGTCTTGTTATACAGTATCATGTAGTTTGTTACAATAGGTTACAAAACACTGTCTCAAAACATCAAAATCACCAAAATAATACATGTGCTGCTTTAAGTTCTCTTTTTTTTTAGCAAAGAGATACTATACTACATAACATATTGTCTACAAATAGAACGAATTCAAATTCGTACATTTCTGTAAACAGGAATATTGGAACGTTTCACTATGTGTTAGTTAAATGTTTACTTAATTGTTAGGGGTGCCAAACGCGTTGTTAGCGACAAATGCTGTCGAATTTAAATAAAACATTTAAATCAGTATCATTGGAGGAAATAAAGGTTCATGTCGGAAAGATTTCCTGCTAATTGCTAGAAAAAGGTTATTCTTTAACAGTAACATTGACTCATGACGTTGTTGCTTGTCCAGAGAAACTTTTGGCTGGTATGTGTGAGAATGATTCGGAAAGACTCCATCAAGACCCACAGAGTAATATATACGCTTCCCACTAACACGAAATCAGATATACAGCAGACATCAATGAAAAATCACTAGTATGTGGTTTGGTCTCGCGCGGAACGTTCGGTATACGTCGTTCGATTACGTATATTTGGCGAGGCGAACATGCATATGACCAGGCTACCGATTTCATTAGTGTTTCAAGTAGACCACTAATGAAATGTCTTTTCAATAAACATCTCCTCCTTTCTGTAGCATAATAGGACTTTCATCCGATTTTGTTTGACCATACGGACTCAGACTTGCCAATGTCGGACCGCTACCCACGTGTCCGCCTCACCGAATTGGCCAGGTTTAATGCTGTGTCTGTATAGAACAGGATATTGAATGGTCGAGTTTGCATCGATCACGTGGCGTGATTCGACACTTTGTACGACAGTATGTGCACCCCTGTCTCCTTTTTTTCTCTTTTCTTTTAGTAAATAAATACTACAACACGTATTACCTTCTGGTGAGCATACAAACTCAAACGCAGTTTTCAAGTTGATTAGCATTTTAACAAGCTTTCCGAAAGTTTATCTACTAAAATACATAAAGATGAAAAATATTGCCAAAGTTTTATTAGATTGATATATTAATTTTATTAGATTGATATATTAATTTTATTAGATTGATATATTAATTCTATTAGATTGATATATTAATTTTATTAGACTGATATATTAATTTTATTTGGCTTCGAAAGCAAACTTAACCACAGGAGCTGCAAATTAAAAAAAGAAATGTAAATTTATACAATGAAAATATTAATATGATTTATTTTACAGAAGTTACATATTTGGCACAAAAGTCTAGTACTATTCCATAACGGCCTCACAAACAACCTTCCACAACAAAAAGGGATTTCGTGACAGTCATCGGTATCATTGTTGACATGATATTAAAGGTATAGCATTGAGAATAAGATGTAAATTATAGTACGTAAATATACAGCGCTAATAAAAATACAATCATTCACAATATTTAGATACACATTCTTAATCAACACACAACACAGAAATGCTATTTGTAATTTGAGAGTCGCCTGCTTAGTTACAAGTAATTGTATATTATACTCACAGAAGATCCAATCATATACATTTGAGGATCCTGAAACAAACTTATGAATTTGTATTTTTCTAAGAAAGAAATTATCATGTCATACTTTTTCATTCGGTATTCCATTAGTTTACACCAATAAGGTTAAAATTATTCAATAATATTGAATCGGGCTGTGCAAGATTAGATAACTTTGTTGGGTAGACCTTAACCCGTATCAGTATCTCAGTACATGGAATCGGGTCAGTTTATATACATTTATCAATAGCTCAGTATACATTTCAAGTAAATAAAAATAAGTTATCCTCATATTTAAATGACGATATTAAGAAAATAAATTATGTCATCTGTCAATAGTTGTGATACGTCCGTTATCAAGAGTAGGGTCAATACGAAAGGACTTTCCTACCACTGAGGAGAAGGTCTTGATTAAATTGAACAACAGCCACACGTAATAATGAAATATCGTGTACATGACCCGATGGTCCAAACCCTAATTAAGTTAAAGGGTCGTTGACGCAAATCTTCAATTTGTAATGTTCAAATAAAATTAAATTAAAAAAAAATAGTTTCTATGTTTCTTATCTTGTTGTGTTGCAACTCAATTCATGTAATTTCGTTTTTAATTCTGATTTTCGAAAATATGCTTATTTTACATTTTGCATTAAATTGACGTTGAGCTCACCAGGCTTTGTAGAATCTGATCCTGGGTTCCAGTTGTTCTAGGTCTGGCTAGCTTACCAACAACATTACGCAAGTTTTTAAAACAAGCATATTTTCTAAAACAATCCATTTTAAAACTTGAGTTGTATTTATAAAGATTTATAATTTTCTTCTCGTGGTCAGGAGCACGCATATATTTGTCACTGTTTAGACAGTTCTCAAAAAATACATTTAAAAAATCTTTGTTTATAAGTGGTAAAGCTTATCATGCTTTGATCAACCATGCCCATAATCAATGTAACTCGATGTAAAAGGCTCTGGTCTGGAAAATAAACATGCTCCGAGTTGTATTTTATATTCTTAATTTACTTCCATTAAAAAAATACAAGGGTATAATTATAAACAGTCGGTTTGTTTGTTCAATTCTAGGACGGATTCGCTGGCAAATAGACAGCGTTGAACCTATTCACTTATTTTCTTTTATCTTTTTTTTTAATATTAATACGGAAAGGCGTATGTCCACATGCATATCCATATCTAGATATCAACAAAGAAAGAAATGGTGTTTAGCAAACATGTAATTGTTCTATGCCAAGTTGTATGCAAAAATATTTTAAAATATCTAATTTAACTATGTTTTAAGTGTAGTGTTCAGGTATATAAATGCATTAAGTCACAATCGGATTGTAACAAAACTAAACGTTAATACAACCTGAAAAGGGTATGTATAATTAAATTTCAACAAATTGGTTCTGTGTAAGGAACTATTGTTATTCTAAAAATAGATAAGTTACAACTAACAGTCCAGCTTCACTGACATTTTATATCAATAGTTGAATTTCACCGTGTGAATGATACTTAATACAATACTTAATTAAAACCTAAATATTCATTATGATATAATTGCCATGATAAGATTTTACATTACTAAATAATCGCTAGAAATACATGTACTATTAGAGAAACACCTATTTGTAGTTTAAGATACAGAAAGTCGAACAAAGTTAAACATTTTAAGCACCATGTGTCCATTTCCGACTCTAAATTGGTACTGAAAGTCACAAGACTGAAATGTTCCAAATCATCTGTAGAATACAGAGAAAAGGAAAAGGGCAAATAAAACACTTGATTACGTTGAAGGCTACCAACCTTTGGATACAGCAGACAAAATTTACTTAAACAAGTATTCCAAATTCAACATGCCAGAAACAGACACAGCTGCAGAAGTCCATCAGCTGAGTCAACAACGGGAAAAGAACGCATCTATTTGGAAATCGTGTTTGTTAATGCAAAAAACTAAAGAAAGTAAAAATTGTATTACAATATCCTGCAATGTCGTGCGTGAAGGGCTCCTCAGTGATACAAAAGGAGAACCAACCATCGATTTTTTTTCACATGAGATATATGATGTCTGAAGTCTAACGTTCGCCAACAAAGGTTTTAAT